CTTGGAAAACAATACTGGAACAGGTTTCAGAAACTTTCAGTTCTCTATTGAACCCTCTGTTCCTCTTCACCACTGAACCTAAGGATCTTATATCAATCCCAATAACATCCCCATGGTTCATTTACAGAGTCTAAAAAAAAAAAAATCCAAAGACTAGAGTTACAACAGAGCAACATGCTTAAAGAACAGAAAACTGAAACGAGCCATGCATGAACTGTAACAAAACGGTTTTTCAACATAAACAGATCATTCATATGACATATATTAAACATATATCTTCCAGTTATTGATTGATTAAACCCTAGAGATTATCTAGGTGCACAAAACACGAGCCAAAGAGAAGGAGAAAGAAAAGAACTTGCCTTTGAGTTTCAGACTTGAAACTCTAAATTCCCAATTTCTGTATTGCCCGTTCAATTCCCCACTGCTGTTCGACAAACCCACGTTCCTTCTACCTTGCTCCCACCTATCCTTTCTCTCCTATCTCTCTCTATTCTCCCTCTGTATCCCACGGTCTCTGTTTTTTTTTTACAGAAATTACGTTTAATTATTCTAAAACCCTAAACCACCGTGACACACACACTTATAGGCTTACTGATTAAACCCTAATCCATGTATAACTCGGCCCATAAAAACCTAGGTTAAACTCCCTGTTGGCTCATAAAGCTATCTAGGTTATAAGATACTCGGCTACATATGCATAACCTCTTAGGGAACCCTACTGTTTAAAATTAGACCAGTTATTAATTTATTTTACTACAGTAACTGATACTAATTTAGTCTCTCATTTAATCTAATTAAAACATTTAAATAAACCAATTAAACATTAGAAAGACCAAACCAATCCAATTACAGAAAATACACATATAAATAAATACACAACCCAATTAAAGAAAATAAGAAACAATTAACGAAAATAAAATTCATAATTAAACAATTAAAACACTTAAACCATAAATGCCAACTAAATACATGTCACATAAAATTAATAAATAAAAATAATTAAACCAAATAATCACGCAAAAAATACAATAAAAATAATAAATAAATGCCGAGATTATCCTTTTAAAATTAGGGGTATTACAGAGAACTAGGAAAAACATCAGATGACTGGGAAGAAGAACCAACTTCTGGATCACTATTGCTATCATAAGTGTCTTTTAACTGTAGAATTTGGTAGATGGATTCTTTAATTTCACTAGGGATTTGTAATTGATTGATCTTAATCTTTGCATAGTAATCTTTTGCAAAATGACATTGTCGACCACATTTGTGGCATTTATCATTTGTGGCAGGGGTATTCTTTTTCTTAAAATCCTTTTTCCTAAATTTCTTTTTAGGTTTAGGCTTTTGAGAATAATATTCATTTTTTGGAAAGATTGGTTTCTTATTTTTGTAATTCCTACAATAACCTTTGTAACTCTTCTTTTGTGACTTGGGGTGTTGTCGAGAGGGAGCTATGGGTGGAAGACCATATTGTTCACAAAAGATTCCCATTTCATATTTAGCTCTTTTCCTATCATCTTGTAACTGTTTACTAATTTTCATGTCAATACACATTCTTAATCCTTCTTTTTGGATTAAGCTGATGATATTGCCAAATGTGAGATTATCATAATTAATGTTACCTGTGGCTTTACTAAGGGTATCTCTAATCTTATGACCAAAGAGGTTAGGTAATATATATATATATTATTCCTCTACTAGGACTTGAACATTTAACCTCCCATTTGGGAAGAAAAGCTTGTATCATCCAGACTAATATTTATGGACAGTGAAGGATCCAGAAAATTTTGTCTACCGGGGGGGGGGGTGCTTTTAATTTGTGGGGCCAAACTTATATAGTGGGTCAATTTTTATAATTTCAATTGGAGTTTTGCATAAATTTTCTAAAATATAAAGTATAAAATGCAAAAAAAAAAAAAAAAAAAAAAAAAAAAAAAAAAAAAAAAAAACAATGGGGCCAGATTGTAATTTTAGTGGAAGAATTTTCATAAATTCTTAAAAATTTAAAGTATAAAATGCAAATAAATAATAATAATAACAATTTTTTTTTTATTTTTTATAAATTGTAATTTTAGTAGGGCATTTTCATAAATTCTAAAAAAAAATGAAAATATAAAAAATTTAGTGGGGGCACATTGGGTTTGTTCCTGTCCATGGATTGAATTGTCTATTTTGACAAAGTGTAGAACAAAGTGTAGAGTATATAGGTAAATAAAAAATAATAAAAAAAAATGTCTGAAATAAGCCAGACCTTTTTATTATTATGATATTTTCATGGTATATTTGGTGGGGATATGCTGGTTGCTACAAAATAGGGCTTTCCTGTTAGGATTTTGGACCAAGTAACCAGGGACGATGTGGTCTGTTGATTACAGCCATTATGGCTTAAATTTTGAACAGTCCATTCCATGAGAATATACTTACTAGTTACTACCAGAGCCAATGCAGGTAACTTCCAACTATTCTGATTTTGTGAATTTAAACTGGTATATAATTACTCCGGAAATTCTCATGTTTATTGGATTTGGTTTCCTTTAAATATTCGTATTTATGAGTTTGGGTTTATGATTTGTTGTGTTTGATTTTCTGGTTTGAGTTTTAGGGTTTTGGTTGTGTTTGTTTCTCCCTTAGATTTTGTACGAACTGAAACTCCCAATCTTTGAGAAGGAGAGTCGGCAGGAAATGAGATAATCCGTATAATAAGGGTAATATAGTAATTTAATGTACAATATATTTTCAATTTCTTTTTTTACTATTATAACATATTCATCTTGCGTTACCACCTGCCCTCGAATTCCCTATCAATGACGATGGTGAAAGAATTGTATGAGAAGGGGCAGCTTTAAACAATAATAAAAATAGATAAATGAAGATCTGCATCCGATTTAGTGATACCAGTACATCCACACTAAGCACTGTTCGATAGGAATCCTTTTGAGCAGAATTGGTCCACTCTATAGTAATCCTTTTGTGCTTCTATCAGTATCAGTATTTAAGTATTTGTTTTAAATCATAGATATATATTTGAGATATTAATAATTTACCATGCCCTCCTCAATAGTTGAAAATTAAGATGATAGTGATGCTGATATTGAAGTTTATTTTATCTTATCTTATTCTGTCATCAAGGGCAATTCAATATCACAGTTGGAAAGACCTGAACACACTGCTACTCAGCATTCTGTAAATAAAAAATAAGGAATGGAAATTCTTATTCAGCTATACAAACAATTACTTTGATTTGATATCTTGACACTCGATGTGAATCGATTTCTTACGCCATTAAATAGGAGGCCGGTGCTTAATCTGCTGTGAAACTTATTGTACAAAATAGTTTTCTTTTGCACTTGAATACAAAATGACAGCAATGGTATATTTTCTATGCAAGAATGATATAATTTAACTAGTCTTTCTGAGCAACGGTATTGACCCGTTATTCTCTGTCTATTAATATAACTGCCTTTTTTTTTTAAAAAATAAATAAATAAATAACCTTTTCATTCGTTTAGATTTATATATGGCTTTAATATCCCAGTTAGATTGCCGACGAATAAGGTTTAGTTTTACTATTCTGATCAGCATCATATGTAGCTGTGAATTAATTTTTTTTTTTTTTTTTTTTTTGATAAGTGTAGCTGTGAATTATTGAATATTCAGATACTAGTGTCTTTAATATATCTCCTCCTAAGTGCTTGACTACCACAGGGAATTATAGAATGTGATAGAAAAGTGAAATGCCGTTTCTGATCTGCCAAACTTTAGAATAATATATGAGGGACTTCTGTTTATGACAAGAAAACAACAATATAAAACCAGGACTTCTTTAGGACTTGTATAATGTATTTCAAGAATGTCATCTTTGACTAATTATTTTGTCCTCCAAATTCAAATCTTAAATTTGGGACGGAAGTGAAAATTAGAGGACTTAATATAATTGTCCTCTTTTCAGTAAAATGATGTCTTTTTTTTTTTTTTCCATTTTTTTTTTTTCCTCGGAAAGTAGCAAAAGGATGTCAATCATAAATAATTGTACCACTAAACTATTTTGGTCAAAGAAACTCCTTATACTACTGAAGAACCTGTTTTAATTTCGAAATCCTAGGGACGTTAGCTGAGACAGGTTCATTGTGTGTGAATTGCCCAAGTTTCATAACATTACTCGAGTATTAAAATATGAAGTAGAGTTATCTTGAAAGGGACTTTTGTATTTGACCACAGTATTAAACCAGGGCTGTTGTACCTTCTCCAAGGTCAGATTCGTGCTAACTTATGCCAAAAATGTTGTTTCTAACTGATGATTCTTTTTCTCCTCCAAATACAAAAGTTGAAGTTTGGACCAAAGTGACAATGACTTGATCATTTGTCAACTTATTAATTAATAAACTAACTGATCCAAATCGTAACTTAATTAAGTAATTGCATCACCCTGCCATTTTTGTCGGACATCCTCATATAATATTAAGAGTCTGTTAGACTGCTAGGATTGCAAAATTTTGGAGAAACGGTAGCTGAGAAACACTAAACTCCTATAACAATTTCAATCTGTCTGCAGCATTAAACTAATCGAGCTTGTAGCTTTAAATGAAAGCTGCCACATTGATGGATTCTATAATATATGTGTGTGTGTGTGTGTGTGTGTGTGTGTGCGCGCGCGCGTGCGTGTGTGCGCGCATCTAGAATATTTTACCATGTGGGGAAAGTTTGAAAATAAAACTGTATATAAATCAAGCCTGGGGCTGAAATCCTCAGAGTACATCCCTTAGCGATCACAACTTAACATGTTCTTTTTTCCCTAAAAATTTCAAGGGAAGTGACTTCAAGATTTTGCAACTTAAATCCATCTCACATATTGCAGGTAGATTTTTATGAGCTTTATATAGTTATTTGTTCTTAAATGTTCTTCATCCACTTTTTAATTAGATTATTTTTGTGGATTTAATAATATTGGCTTTACTTTGCAGAAACGTGAGCTACTTGAGTTTCTCTGAATTGGAATGGAGCTTTCAAACTTTGGCTTATCCATATCAAGGTCAATTTTCTGTATTTATATCTATGTAATAGTTGCATGTTGCTTGAGCTTGATGCATGCAAGTTTGCCTACCATTGTAGCCACCTCCAGGCTTGGAGGGAATGAGACAGATCGACTTGCACTGTTGGCCTTCAAGGCCAAAATAACCAATGACCCTCTTCAGGTTTTGAGTTCATGGAATGGTTCCATTCCCTTCTGCCAGTGGCATGGTGTCACCAGTGGTCGCCGACACAAAAGGGTCACCAAATTAGACCTAAGGTCCCAGAAATTGTTTGGGACCATACCGCCACACATTGGAAATCTAAGCTTTCTGAGAGTATTTGATCTCTGAAACAATAGCTTTGAAAAAGAAATCCCTCCAGAGCTTGTTCGTGTACGTAGACTACAAATTTTAGGCCTAAACAATAACACAATAAGTGGCCGAATTCCTGCCAATTTATCTGCTTGCTCTAACCTCTATGACTTGTATTTGGAATTCAACAATCTGGTAGGGCCAATCCTTGTGGAGCTGGGCTCCTTGTCAAAGCTCCGGAGTATTTATGTTAAGCATAATAACCTAACGGGAATTTTACCTCATTCATTCATGAACGTATCATCTCTTGAGATACTTTCTGCATTCGGAAATAATATTGGTGGGCGTGTCCCTTATGCACTTGGCCAACTTACAAACATAGGAATAATTTCACTAGGAAGCAATAGGTTGTATGGTACCATCCCTCCTTCAATCTTCAATCTCTCTTCTCTGACAATTTTCGATGTGTTTCAAAATAAGCAAATTATAGGTAGCCTTCCCTCTGACATAGGCATCACTCTTCCTAATATTCAGTTCTTTAGCATTGGTGAAAACAAATTTACTGGATCTATTCCTACCTCAATATCCAATGCATCGAATCTGGAAGTGTTATTGCTCAATGTAAATAATTTTGCTGGACAGGTGCCTACAATGGAGAGACTGCATAAGCTGAATGTTATAAATTTAGGCATCAATTATCTTGGAAGTGGGGAAACTGAAGACTTCAACTTTTTGTCCTCTTTGACCAATGCCACCAATTTAAGGGTGTTTATTTTGGACAGTAACAATTTGGAGGAATGCTTCCCAAATCCATCAGCAACTTCTCATCCAAGCTTGAATTATTTAGTGTAGCCGATAATCAATTGTTTGGGAGCATCCCGGAAGGAATTGGGAGTCTAATAAGCTTAAATTCGCTATATATGTCGGGCAACAAGTTCACAGGTAAAATTCCCACTGAGATTGGAATGCTTCAAAAGCTAAACACATTCGACTTGTCAGCTAATAATTTTTCTGGAGGCATGCCCTCCTCTCTCGGAAATTTAAGTATGTTAAACATCTTGGGTTTGGAAAGCAATAATCTTAATGGCAGCATCCCTTCAAGTCTTGGGAAATGTCAAAATTTGTTAATACTTGATCTTTCTAACAACAATCTCAATGGTACCATACCCTCAGAAGTTGTCAGTCTCTCTTCCTTATCAGCCGTTCTCGATTTGTCTCAAAACTGTTTCACTGGTTCACTTCCCATGGAAGTAGGAAATTTGAAAAATTTAGGTGGATTGTATGTTTCTGATAACATGCTGTCCAGTGAAATTCCTAGCACCATTGGTAGCTGTGTGAAATTAGAGAAATTATCTATGGCGGGTAACTTCTTCCAAGGGAGCATTCCATCATCTTTGAGTGCTCTGAGAGGTATTCAAGTTTTAGATTTTTCTCACAACAATTTTTCAGGAAAAATTCCAGAATACCTTGTGGGCTTTGAATTTTTACAAAATTTTAATCTATCTTACAATGATCTTGAGGGTGTGGTACCAATAAATGGTCTCTTAGCAAATGCAACTGCAGTTTCAGTCACTGGAAACAATAAGCTTTGTGGAGGTATACTTGAATTACAGCTGCCTCCATGTAACTTCTGTAACAGGTTAAAAGGATCCAAAAAGAGGGGATTAACACTTGCATTGAAATTAATAATTCTCATAGCATCAGGGCTTCTTGGATTAATAGTACTGTTGTGCATTCTATTTATTTACTGGCGTAAAAAGAAGAGAGAAAAACCTTCTTTAGGAAATTCAGGAAGCTTTTTTTTGAAAGTATCCTACCAAAGTCTACTGACAGCTACAAATGGCTTCAGCAACTCCAATTTGATAGGGGTGGGTAGTTTTGGGTCTGTATATGGACTTCTTGATAAGGAATGGGAAAAGGTTGCAGTGAAGGTACTTAATCTTTTGCGGCCAGGAGCTTCCAAGCTTTTCATCATCGAGTGTGAGGCATTGAGGAACGTCAAGCATCGGAATCTTGTCAAGGTAATCACTGCATGTTCAAGTGCTGATCACCAAAATAATGACTTCAAGGCTCTGATTTGTGAGTTCATGGTCCATGGGAGCCTAGATGATTGGTTGCATCCAATTCAAGGAGAACTTGAGGCGTATGAGGAACCAAAAAATTTAAGTCTTGTTCAGAGATTGATTATTGCCATTGATGTTGCTTGTGCACTAGATTATCTCCACCATCATTGCCAAACTACGATAATTCACTGTGATCTGAAGCCAAGCAATGTTCTTTTGGATGATGACATGACTGCACATGTAGGTGACTTTGGGATATCAAGATTTCTTTTTGATGCTAACGATAACGATATTGGAAATCAAACCAATTCTGTTGGAATCAGAGGATCCGTTGGTTATATGCCACCAGGTACTAACAGTACAACTTTATTTATTTATTATTATTATTTTTTCTCTCTGTTAACATTTCTTGCCCAAAATATTAAGGAGTTCTGGTGAAATATGTATTATCACAAATCCAAATCAGTTTAAGTTAGAAGGAACAAAAAAGTTGTCGAGCAAATGAGCAATACTTTCTGGAGTCATTGCCCACTTTTGTCGCCTGTATTACACTTGCTTCGAGCTGCTCTGGCAGAGAACTAGAAGGAACATTAGTAATCGTTGTTTTGAAAATAAAATTTTACTTTCTTCGAGTCATGAACATGATTTTTAAGTTTTGGCACAGAATTGCGATTAACATGCATATTGTTAACAAGTATTTAGTTACTTTAAATAACTTATTTGAAGAGTATGACAAATGATAGATTAATTGTTCACAAGTATTAAGTCTTTGAAAAATTATATCTTTCTAGAGAGTTCTGTAAATAATAACTTAGAGTAAACTGGTGGATTTTAAAAACAGGATTAAGGTTTTTATATAGTTGAGGCATCTTAGTCCTTGTACTAAAAGATGGGAAAAGGAAAAAGAAAAAAAGTGTTTGCTTAAAAGATGAACTGTTGACTCATCTATGCATGCTAAATTAGGTTACTCCTTCTTAGGTCTAAACAATGTATAATGAATCCACGTTTCACATATAAAATGTTTGTTTGCTAAAGGGATATTTACATTTCTTTTTGCACTGGGTTGTGTGAATTGTAGAGTATGGTATGAGAAGTGAGGTGTCAACATCCGGTGATGTATACCGCTATGGCATTCTCTTGCTGGAGATGTTTACTGGAAAAAGGCTGACTGATGTGATGTTTATTGATGGACTGAACCTTAAAAACTTTGCCAAGACAGCTTTGCCAAGACAGCTTTGCCGGACAAAGTAATTAGAATTGCAGATTCAGTACTTCTTCAGCTAGGAGAAGAGGGGGAGGCAAGCACAAGCACCAACAACACTCTCAATCAAAGCCATGTTAGCAGTTACAAGATTCAGGAGTGCTTGACTTTGATATTTAGAATCAGAATTGCATGTTCTGAAGAGTCACCAATTGAACGATTGGTTATTAGTGATGTTGTAGCCAAGTTGCATGTCATCAGGAACAATCTTCTTGGAACTGGTGGAACACATGTTGGAAGAACTAGTTGACTGCAGTTAATCTTGAGTTGGTATGACTGATTTACTGTCTTCTTAACTGAGAGAAAATATAAGCATCTCTCTCTTATGTTAATTCCATGGTCCACAGTGCCTCTGGAAAGGTAACTTTAAAATTTTCAAGTTGTCAAATGCTCCCTAATCAACATTTTGGAGGGTCCTTGGCTATTCTTTCTTTTCTATTTCTATTTACTACAGCTTGCTAGATGACTAAATGACTTGGGTACCTCCACCACCCGAGGATCCCTCCAGGACTGCATAATAGTATTTTTTTTCACCTTCTTAACCCTTGTCAATAAAAATTTAGACCATTCCACTGCAACAAAGGAGAGCATTTGTGACATAAAAAACCATCACTATTACTTAATATTCTGTTACTAAAAGTGCTTTAGCTATGAAATATTTCTCAATTTTTATGTTTTATTTTGAGAATGCTACACTGCTCTTCTCCGTGTTGTTTCGATTTTTTATTTTCATTTTATCTAATTCATTAACTGAAAGAAAAACTGATTTTGTGAAAAATAATTATATAATTTTTTGAATTGTGTAGGGCAGAAGCCAGAAAAAAAAACATGATAGCTCGCTTGATCGTATTATCTTTAAACTTGACTTTTTGGTTAAAGGATGCCAGTTACTCTGAACCACTTTAATTTGCATCTTTCAGTTTCTTATATCACATTCAAATGTCTGATAGCTAATTATGTTTCCTCTTATCCCAGATGTGTGAGGCCTTTTAAACTCGAAGAAGTTGGTTGATTCATCAAGTGCGCAATGTCAGATATTTCTTTCTCGCTTGTTACATATATTGTTCTGTATTTTATTTTTATTTTTCTTTCATGTTTTCTTTTATCATTAATTTTCTCTCCAGTGTGCAACTTTTGTCATTTAAATGTACTTCAAGTAGGTTATTACAATTGTCTTTTATATTTTTATCATGTAAATGTACTTCAATAAAGAGGCATGTATTTAATTTCAACATAAATAAAATCTAGGTTGAATTGCATAAAACCCCACTTTGACTTGTAACATTTTACAGTACACTCCTTTTATTTAAAATTTTTTTCTCAAAATACTCCCTCCAACTAATTGAGGGGTTTTTTTTATTTATTTTTTTATTTATTTTTATATATATATATATATATATATATATATATATACCAAGTCAAAGGGGTTTTATGCAATTCGACATACATGTTTTATGCACTTGGTCAGTTGGAGGAGAAAACTTGTTGCACCATGCAACGGGTGCATACAGACCGTCTGTGTAATAAATGTGCGGTGCGTGTATTACAAGTGCAGTAATGAACGGTTGAATATGCTAGTTGCACGGTGAAACAAGAGCAGCCTAGTTTCTCTCCAGTTGGAAGGGTTTTGTGCAATTCTTCCAGTTTTATGCAAAACAACTGGGCAGGGATAACATCCCAGTAAGAAAAATTGGGGGCATACTTTCTTTTACACTGGTTAATCCATCTTCTGTCCTTGCATTGCACATAATCCCAAGCTAGGGTACACTGAGTTGTTGTACTGATCTCCTTTACTTTTCTCAGCCCAGTGACTATGGTCCATTTGAGAAGATACATTTTCTTATTCAAATCCTTTTATATATATTTTCTTGGTATGGTCTGTGGATTAAAGTCATTTTGGCTTCAATTTTGGGAAGCCCATTTCATGAGAATATAATTACTAAAGCGAATGCAGGTTTGTTCTAACTCTTCTGATTTTGTGAATTTAAATGTGTTTTTAATTACTCTTGAAATTTTCATGTTTGTTGGATTTTAGATAGAGGTGTTATGTGTACTTTCATAACTTGTATTACTGGAATGCTTAGCATACTTTGTCGCAAATCAAACTGTTGCAGAGCTCATATTGGCATCTGGCCAATGATGCAATTAGCCTAGGTCAAGAATTCCCTAGAGCATCAAGTCAGTTAAACCTTTTATCCAATAATTTCCTCGTCTTTAGGGTTAGGTTAAACTTTTGGTATTTATGGGTTATGGCTTATTATGGCTTATGATTTGTTGTATTTGATTTTCTGGTTTGAATTAGGGTTGATAAACATTCAGTGTCTATCCAAGAATTCCTTCCTCTTTGGAGCTGCGTTTATTTCTCCCTTAGGTTTTGTATGAACTGAAACTTGATGTTTGAGAGGGAGAGTTGGTAGGAAATGAGATAAACTGTATAATAACGAAGGACAATGTAATTTGACACATTCTTGTCACCATGTGAAATGGAGAAAAACCTCACCTATACATGGATAATCAATTTATATGATTGTAACTAATGGTTAGATTTATGTTTTATTTCTTTTTATATGTGAAACTCACACCTACTTTGGCCCCTACGGAGACTTAGAGCTTGAAGCATTGGCTTTTTAATTGAGAAAGTTCCACTATGCTAGCATCCTTGGTGGTATCGTTATATTTAATTAATTATAGCAAGACTATTATTTTTCTTACATGTCAATTTTTAAAAATTTAAGATACATGAATAGCAGTTGTTTGGATGTGTTTTTGTTGTTTTTATTGTTGCTTCTGCTGGTGATAGCATTTCTGGGTTTAGCAAATTAGGCAGAATTGTGATCCCAATAAGTTGCCAAGAAAACAATCCCATGTCAGGAGAACTTGATTTTACAACCAAATTTTGAGTATAAATTCACTAGTTTGACAAGAGAATGACGAAACTGGGAGTCATGGAAATATATGAGCCATATATAACTATATACTTGGTAATATTTTGTTGTCTTAGTTATTGAATTCGATTAAAAAAAAATTCTGAATCTGATTCAGTGATACCAATACATCCACACTAGGTAAGTCAATTCTGTGTTGCCACATCAAGAATTGATCATAAATTTTCCTTCACACTATGAAACAAAATTTGCTTATGTGCCACTTGAATGTCCTGTGGAAGTGAGCAGAGTTGGTCCATTATATAGGAATCCTTTTGTGCGTCTATCAGTTTTTTGCATTGGTATATTTGTTTATTTATATGCTTGTTTTAAAATAATAGATACTTGAGATATCAATAATTTACCTCATCCCTCCTGAATAGTTGAAAATTGAGATGATAGTGATGCTGATATTTAAGTGTAATTTATCTTATCTTATTCTATCATCAAGGGCATCCAATTTTGGACTTCCAAATGCTATCAGCCGGCCAAATCATAACCACTTGGAAAGACTTGAACACTGCTAGACATTTTCCCCCTCAAATCACTTCTACGAAACGTTCTCTAACTAATAAAAAAGGAACGACTTTTCTGGTGTGCCTGGGTTCTATTGGAAAGAATAATTAATTGTTTTTTTGGGTAAGGAAAACAATTTGTTTTTGACAATGAAAGAACAATATATAACCGGAACTGCTGTAAGTATTTGTATGTCTGATTCATCTATATGCCAAAAATTTTATTTTCTACTAATCAATTTTGTAGTTCCCAAATTCAAATGTCAAGGTTGGAACCAAAGTGACAAGGACTTGTTTTATCATCTTATCAGTAACAGGATTCCTATCATTATTAAATATTTGGATCTCCTAACCATTTGGTGGATTCCTTCTGAAAAGTCCACTATACAAACAATTTGTTTCATTTGATGTTTTGGCACTTGATGTGGATCAATTTCTTTGGCCATTGGACGGGTGGTGAGCTTAGAAAAGTGCATATCCTAACTGAGCTGATTTTCCTTTCTGAACTTATTATACAAAATGACACCCTAAGAGTATATTTTCTATGCCAAAATGATAGAATTATTTAGTCCTAAGCAACGGCATTGACCTGTTAATCTCCCTTTCTCTGTCACCTCTCTCTCCTCCCTCCCTCTCTATGAGTGTGTGTGTGTATGTGTGTTGAAAATATTATTTTTCTTGATACAGAAGGACTTAAATAAGCTGTTCGCCCATGAAAGCTAGAACTTGTGTAGTACCTTTACCGAGTTTAAGGTCAGTTGGTCTCAATTGCTTCATTCTGTAGTTCGGAATGTACTGAAAAATCATCTTAAGAGCACACATAATTTAATTTCTAGACTACAATGAAGATGGGCATTAACATTAGACGTAGCAGCCATTGCAGCACTTCCGAGACTAGCTAATATTGTAAAATCGACTTGGACTGAAGCAATAATGAAACTAAAAAAAAAAAAAAAAATCAGACTAGCTAAAATGGTTTGGCTGCCAATTTATGCAGAGAATGGCTTATTTCCCTTGATAAGACTGGAAAAGTTGGTCCTTCAAATTTAATTAGTTAATTGCTCTAAAGTCTGAACCAACAGTATGAAAGCTTACTAGTTTAGTTATAGCTGACAAAAAGTTCAAAGCCTCCGGATAAATAATGGTTTGAGTTACACCTTCAAGTTGGAAAATTGGCAATTTCAAATTGCCAAAATGGTTTGTTTCAGCAGAACCAATGTGGACTAAGGAAGGTGTAATGCATTTGTCCCACCTTCTATAAATTGAAATGGTCTATCCTTAACTCGTCAGTCTCAAGACTCTTTCCCTTGATTTATTTATTTTTTATTCTTGGTTTGTTGTAATCTATTCATTTTTATATTTTTGGTTCTTATGGTTGGCTTTATTGGTCACACATCATATAAATGTGTCTGCATTGCCTGAAATGAACCATGCACTGAAAAGCAGCCTTATATCAATTGCCAAGTGCTATCAGAAAAGTCACAAGTTCTTGAGTAAAATGGGGCTTCTGATTTTGGGCTTAATCATATCAAGGTCAGTTTTCAATGTTTTCGTCTATCTTATAATTTTATGTTACATAATCTTACTGCATTCAAGCTTTCCTGTCACCATGGCAACTTCTAGACTCGGAGGGAATGAAACAGACCGACTTGCATTACTCGCATTCAAGGCCAAAATAACCAGTGAACCCCTCCAGGCATTGAGCTCATGGAATGAATCAGTTCACTTCTGCCAATGGCCTGGCGTTACATGTAGTCACCGACATCATAGAGTAACCATGTTGGACTTGCAGTCCCATAAGCTAGTTGGAT